GTTTCCATGATTGAGTTTGCATGTTGTTTATTCCCATTCTCTTCTTCCCTAACATCCAAATCCTTTAAATCCAAATTTGCTCCCTTTGAAATCCAATACCCTAAATCCAAATTTCTTATCTTGTGAATACCTCTCTTATCTCTTCATTTAGATGTATAGTTTTTTTTATTTTTATGCTTAGTTTAGCTAGCCTAATGTTGTAATTTTTCATTTCTTACTCAAAAAAAAAAAAAAATCGAAAAACGAAAAAAAAAAATATTGAAAAACGAAAAAAATTGCCCAAGGATGAAACTCAAATGACGACGCTAATATGTTTTGCTTGCTTGACTCTTGAGTGATGAGTAAAAGTTCTTTTAGAAGGGTGTATGCAAGAGTTGGGGTCATTTAGAGGTCTATTAATCCTGGTTGCATTAGTGTATATGAAATGAAAGTCGATGAATGCTCAATTGCACGTCTAGCATAGGATATTGTTAAATTTGCCCAAAGTAGGATATGTTTGAGTCAAATTGCGGTCCCTTGTGCCCTTAATGTGCCTCCTCTCCTCCCCGAAATGATACTCTATTAAGGAATTAGTTCTACTTGTATTATGTGTAATAAGTGGCATAATAAGACACACGTTTCGAATAAAGAAAGAGCCGCTCACAGTTAAAAGAGGCGAGGGCAATAATGTTTAAAAAAAAAAAAATAGAAAAGAAGGGAGAACAAAAAAACTCCCCAAAAAAATTCTCAAAATTTTGATTTTCTTTTCTTTAGAGGTCAACTTGTGGATGCCTCCCACACATTGTCGAATATGTTGTTTATTGTTTCTTGTAAAATTCCCGAGTTAGAGTGTAATTAAGGGGCCTTGGTGTGCATTTTGGGAGGTGGACTAGCATTTTGAGATTTTATAACCAAAAGAGGGCTCATTACAACTTTGGAATATCTAGGTGTGCTCTAATGAACTAGTAAAAGGCAAAAGGAAGTATCCTAGTGCAACCTTGTTTAGTTCTCCTCTCTACCCCCCCCCCCAACTCATGTGTACATTTGTATGATCGGTAATTCTTGAAAGTCGTTCACTTGTCTTGCTTGTGTCTCATATCCCGATGAGTTGACTTGGGCGAAAAATTGAACTTGTGCGATTTTTTGCGATGTGTTGTGGATTGCGTGAGTTGTGGGGCAAACTCATGGAAACCCTCACGAGATAAAAACTCGTCCTCTAAGGCGACTTAGAGGTTTAAATTGCTTCTCACTTGTGCTAAAAGTGATGATGGTTGTCACCATGCGGATTTGTTTATGTATGCTTCCCCCTTGTTGCCTCTCCTTGGATTGATGATTAGCAAATTGTTTTCCTCCTTTGGTTTGACATGTTTGTTTTGCTCGAGGACGAGCAAAAGCTTAGCTTGGAGGGATTTGATAACTTGTTATTTGATAGGATTTTAGGGTGTTTTGAACCTAGTTTACTTGATAAAAAATTTCGTTTTGGTTCATTTTTACTCTATTATTATGCAATTTTTGTGTATCCTATGCTTCACGGGTTGTTGGTGTTTTTGTTGAGATTCTAGGTTCAAAAGAACGACCAAATGGAGCCCATGGATACAAAGCCGAGGTTAGAAGCAAGAAGATGGTTGAAAGAAGCCAAGGAAAGGAGCAATATAGAAGAAAAGATGAAAAAAAGGGCTTAGAAGACCCTGCACGGCCGTGCCAGACCTTGCACGTCCGTGCAGGAGGTTCCAGAAAGTTTCAGCAAGCTGCCAAGGCCTGCACGACCGTGCTTAATCTGGCACGTCCGTGTAGAAGAGGCTGCACGGCCGTGCCAGACCTTGCACGTCCGTGCAGGAGTGCTCCAGAAACTTAGAACATTCTGCCAAGGCCTGCACGGACGTGCCAAATTAAGCACTTCCATGCAGATGTAGCTGCACGTCCGTGCCAATATCTGCACGTCCGTGCGGAGCTGCTCGATTCTTAGCAGTACGTTCTGCCTCAATTCTGCCCCCTCTGCACGTCCGTGCCGAATCTGGCACGACCATGCTTATGCTTGCACGTTCGTGCCGAATCTGGCACGTCCGTGCAGACCTGCAGTCGAACTCCTTCCTTGTTTTCTCCGTCCTTTTTATTTGGGGGTCATATAAATACCCCTTTAGAGCTCATTTGATAGGATGCAGTTTTTTAGAGCTTTCCTCTTAGTTTGTAGTCTTAGAACATTAAATTCTCAAATCATTAGTTAGTTCTCAATTATTAGCTTGGAAACATTCAAATTCAATCATTGTGGAAGACAAAATCCACCATTGTTGCTCACTTTGAAGCTTCATAGTAACCATTTCTTACTCATCTTTTCTACTTCTCTTTACTTTGTTGTTGATTACTTGCTTAATTCTTGCATGCTTAGATTGTTAATTAGCTTAATCCTTAGTTTGAACTTGTTCATGAATTGCTTGAAACCTCTAATTGCTTTAACCTCCATGGATTGTGAGTAGTCTAAATTCTAGGGTTTGGGTAAAACCCTCAATGTAGTCACTAATTACTTGTTGCATGTGCTAATTTGGTTGTTGTGGGATGATGATTAGTTGAGCTTAAGTGGTTTAATTTCTTAGTTCTTGTATATGGCCATTGCTAGAACTATTTATCCAAGCTTTCTCAACGAAGGATCGAGAGATGAACTTGAGTTAGCTCTCTTATGCTTAATTGACCCGAAATGCCATGAGAATAGGGATTACCGGTCAAGGGAATGTTTATGTCATCGTGATTATGCTTTAACACTTTTTTTATGCTATGTAACCACGAGAGTAGGTTGTATTCACGATTCAAGTAATCCCTCTAGCTTGAGAGAGTAGTTGGTGCTTTAGATGACTTCCCCTAATTTGTCCCATTAATTTACCTTGATTGTAGCATGCTAATTGTGATTTGTGATGAAGCTGAGTGGTATAACCCGAGCCCTAGATTCCTCTTAATATTGTTAGTCTCCTCTTAGCTTTAGTTGAGTTGAATTAGAAGAAGTTACTCAAAACCAACCCAATTTAGAATTCATTTAGCTTATTTAAACGGTAGTACTCGGTGGTTGATTCAACGCCTCTCTTGGGTTCGACCCTTTCTTACCCTTACTATTGTTAGTGAGACCAAGATAGGAATCATTATCTTTGGTAGGCTCGACGACGGCCTATCAACCACCCTAGTGTGCGTGTGTGTGTGAGTGTTTGTGAAGGAGAGGGGAAAAATTCAGGGAGAGAGAAAAAGAGTTTACCTTTGGGTATTCTCCACCTTAGGCAAAGTTTAATTTGCTCATAAGATGGGTATTTAAACTCCCTCTCAAAACCCTCCTAACTTAATTTCCCTTTTTACCCTTAATGATTCCTATTCCCATTCAATTTGGTATTTTGACTTTAAAACTCCTTTATAAATCCAAAGTGCCCCAAAGCTTCTAAATTGATGAAATAAAATATTTCCAAACCCAAATAAATAAATAGAAATGAGTCTTTAATTAAAATAAACCTTTTAAATTATTAAAATACCATAAATAATTCATTTCAAATTATTTAAATACGCCATAAAATAATACTTTAATTTAATATACGTATAAAAATACAAGGTATTACAATACTAATTGAAATTGTAACTTAATTTTTAGATTGAAAAGTAAGAAAAACTTGTGATATAACAAGTTTCTTTGGTCCCAAATATCCTCCTCCACAAAATCCTTCTCCTCCACCTCCTCCTCTACAAGATCCACCTCCTACACCACAAAATCCTTTTCCTCCACGTCCTCCAAATCCTCAAAACCTTTCTCCACATCAAGAAAGTGAACAACATTCTTCTCCATCACATAACTTTCCTCTAAATCAAGATGAACAAGATGGATAATTTGTTGTTGAAGTTACTTCAAGTCCTAGAGCTCAGGTTAATGATGGAAGATTAAGTGAAAATGATATTGTTAATCTTCCACAAGACCCAGGACTAAGGAGAAAGATGAATGATTTTCATCCTAAAGATAGAGATTTAGTGAGGACATACCTTCAAAGAAAGCCTTGCCAACCTGAAGATTTTGTGTTTCCTCAAACAGTTTTTGGAACTAAAAGGCGTCGATTTAATGTCAAATAGTTTGATACTTGGCGATCTTGGCTTGAATATAGTGTCTCCAAGGATGCTGCATTTTGTTTCATTTGCTATCTATTCAAGGATTATAACACTGTTGGAGGTGATGCTTTTGTTTGTGATGGTTTTTGTGCTTGGAATAGTTACAAACAATTCGAGATCATGCAACCAAACACATGAGTGCTCACCATAAAGCCGTGATTGCTATGGAGTTCTTCAAGAAACAAAAGGGTAGTATTATCATTGCTTTATCAAAGAAAACAGAGGAAAGTAAAAGTGCTTACCGTAAACGATTGGAGGCTTTAATCACAACCATTAGATGGCTTTTACTTCAAGGGCTACCTTTTCGTGGTCATGATGAAAAAGAAAGATCAATGAATAGAGGTAATTTTATTTCTCTATTTACTCTTCTTTCAGAACATGATGTTGAATATTCTAAAGTTGTTTTTAAATGGCACCTGGTAATTGTCAACTTACTTCTCCAGGTATCCAAAAATATATCATCCATGTTTGTGCAAAAGAAACAACTAAAGAAATACTTGAAGATCTTAGTGGTGGTTTTTTTGCTATCCTTGATGACGAGTCTGGTGATGTTTCCGATAAGGGACAATTGGTTCTTTGTTTGAGATATGTTAGTAAAAATGGAAAAGCGTGTGAAAGATTTCTTGGTGTTGTGCATGTTGCTTATACTACTTCATTGACTCTTAAAGCTGCTATTGAATCATTACTTATGGATTATTCTTTGACTTTCTCTCAAGATCGGGGTAGGGATATGATGGGGCAAGTAATATGCAAGGTTCAATCAATGGCCTCAAAACTTTAATATTGAATGAATGTAAACAAGCATACTTTGAACATTGCTTTGCTAATCAACTTCAGTTGACACAAGCTGCTCTTGCTAAAAAAAATTAGATTGTGCTTGGCTTTTGAACTTTATGGGAGGCTCACCTAAGAGGAAAGAATCTCTTCGAGAAAAACAAGCTGATCAAGTTGTTGAGGCATTATCCTTAGGTGATGTTGAATTAGGAACTGGTTTGAATCAAGAACATGGCTTAGGTAGACCTTGTGAACTTGCACCTCTTTTGAACTTTGTGGGAGGCTCACCTAAGAGGAAAGAATTTCTTCGAGAAAAACAAGTTGATCAAGTTGTTGAGGCATTATCCTTAGGTGAAGTTGAATCAGGAACTGGTTTGAATCAAGAATGTGGCTTAGGTAGACCTTGTGACACTCGTTGGGGGTCTCCCTTTAAAACAATTTTGAATGTGCTTGATTTATATCCTAAAATCTTGAAGTCACTTGATTCCATTACTCAAGTTTCTGATACAGTTGATTCGAATAAAGCACAATCTATCACACACTTGTTAATGTCATTTGATTTCGTATTTGTGGCACACTTGATGGTTGCTATATTTGGGATTACAAATGAGTTAAATGTGGCCTTGCAAAAGCATGAACGGGATATTGTAAATGCAATGGAAATGGTTGACGTAACCAAGTTTAATCTACAAAATTTGAGAAATGGTTGACGTAACATGGAATTGAGGTTCCAAATATGGAGGGAAGATATCATGTTCCCAGGAGAAGGATCTATAGAAGTAATGGCCTACAAGTGCAAATCTTCATCATTTTCAAGTTGAAGTTTTCCTTGGTGTCATTGATCTTCAATTGCAAGAACTTGAAAATAGATTTCCTTAGGTAAGTAAGGCACTACTTTCTAATGTATGTCTTACTTTAATCCCGCTAATCGTTTTGCTTCATTTGACAAAAATAAATTGATTCAACTTGCCAAATTCTATACTAATGAATTTTCAAATACTGAATTGATTTTTTTTTTGTTAATCTCTTTATAATTTCATTGTTGCTATGAGAAATGATGAGAGGTTTTGGAATTTAAAGAGTCTTAGTGAGCTTTTTGTGAAACTTGTTGAGACAAGAAAGTATGAAACTCATGAATGAGTATACTTGCATTTGAAGTTGGTTCTAACTCTTCCCGTTGCAACGACAAGTGTAGAAAAAGTATTTTCCGGAATGACGCAAGTGAAAGATAAATTGCGTAATAGCATGGGAGATCAAATGTTAAACGATTGCTTGGTTACTTATATAGAGAGAGATATGTTTTTGAATGTTGACATGAATGATATTATAGATCAATATCAAAACGCGAAAACTCGTAGGGAGCAATTGTAATACAAGTTTAAAAAATTGGCTGTAATATGGATATTTAATACATTTGGAATGTATTTTTTTAAAAAAAAAAAAATTATTAGCTTTTTGAATATTTATTCATTAATTATTGATTAGCATACGGGAATGACCCAACACCCGAAAAATCCTGGATCTGCCACTGTAAGCAAGAGTTTAACCAACAAATTAAGTTCACAAAATATTCACCATAACAGCATTAGTGCATATAACCAACTCTATCACCAGCATCATCACTAATCTTGCCAAGCACCATTAATATACTTTCAAATAGAAACTTTAGTCGGGGCATTCCGGAGAGAAATTCTATAAAAGAAAAAAAAAATTATATAAATAACTTATCAAAAATACTTTAAATTTATTAAATTTAATTATATTTACCCTTGCTTTTAATATGCACAAATATTCTCAATTCTCAACGTAGGAACTCCTTTGGAAGATAACTTCCACTCTTCATAGGCATCTTCAGTTCCCCTCGTATTGTTAACACTTTGTACACTAGACACACCTCAATTTTCCGGTAGAGGTATTAGTACTTGTGTAAATCCTTTACGGTATTTTGCGATGGCATCAGCCATCGAGTTCTCCTCCTTAGGGAGGAAGTGTAACTCCTGATTAGGGGATTTTGCTCCCACCAATCGGAATGCGCCACGTGGGCCAATCAGGTCCTGCCAAGTGTCCCCCAGTTGGATCTCTCAGGGCTTGCCACGTGGCACACGCTTATTCGTCCACCCTGGACCTATTATGTCATGACACGTGGCATACTCCATGCCTAATGGAGAAGTCGGCCACCTAGGCCCAACTTCCGAGGGAAGCCCAATCAGCCCAAGGTTAACCTAAACCTAGGATTGGCGCGTTTCTTGAGGTTATAAATACCTCCCTTAATCTTCATTAAGGGGGATGACGGAGATTACACCCATTAAACACTCTCACCTAGAGAGACCCAATCACTTTAATTTCCGCATTAATTACTCCTTAATCAAGTACTAACTTGACCGTCGGAGGCGGATCTCCAATCATCCGGAGCATCCGTTTGTTTTGCAGGTACAGGCGTCCGGTTTCAGTCTCGGAATTGTAACTCTCCCGCAGGACATCAGAAAACCCCGAAACATTTTTGGCGCCGTCTGTGGGGAGAGTACTTCTGAGATGGCATCCACGTTTGTACCGGCTCCTGAAGAGAGACGTCCCCTGGACGACCCTCTAGTTCAGTCGGACCACGATACTGAGAATGAATTTGAAGTTGAAGCTCACACAGCTTCAGACGGGACCCTAAGGGCCCGACGTACCCGTCATACCGAAAGAAGGGAACGGGAACATCTTCAAACTGGAAGTGAGCCAGCAGGCGCACCGCCTGTTCGGCAGCAGCCGACTGATGGGTCTGCTCCCATCACAAGGAACGAACTCATGACCTTCATGAGGGACTTCAAGGGAGAAATTCAAGAGTTGATCAACAAGAAGCCGCCTGCTCTGGACAAGGAGCAGTCGGCTAAGAAACCCTCCACTTCACGGAAGAGGAAGCCAGTTCAAGGGCGAGAGGCGACCCCTCATCCTAAATCTAGGAAGTGGGAGCCGCTTACCCTTGATTTCACAAAATACCGTTTTCCTACTCCAGGAAAGAGGAAACCTGTTCGTCATATTCAGGCGGACGGGTCGAGGAAAACATACACAGATGCTCGGCTACTGTTAGAGCAGAAGAAGAGTGACCGATTGTCAGAGACGGCCTCTACTTCAAACTTCCAAGATAGTCTGCGCAATACCTCGATGAGGCATACTCAGTCGTATCATGAGAGTCAGTCAGGCGGCACCTTCTGTCAGTCCGGCTTTCATAGCGACCAGGCGGTACCAAACTTACCGTTTGTACCGCAACAACAGTATTTTTTGCAGCCACCTCCGTTTGGTGGACATGCAGCAAAAAATGTCCAACCTATGGACTGGTAGCTACGGTTGCTTAGACTTGGCGAACAGCCGCCGGCCTTCTCCAAGGAAATTACTGAAGCCGCTCAGCCGGCCAAAGTGAAAAATGTATTAGTAGGCGCCTATGACGGCACTACTAACCCAGAAGACCATCTGATGGCATTCACCAACCTGATGTACCTTCAAGGGTTGGATGATCGCACTGGGTGCAAGTGTTTCCCAGCGACTCTCAAAGAGATCGCACAACAATGGTTCGGCTACCTGCCGACTGGTTGTGTAAATAACTTCAGGACGCTTGCTTACTTATTCACCTCCAACTTCGCCATGAACATCCCTGCGAAGAAGACGACCCTTGATTTAGGAACGATTCAGCAGGGCGAGAAGGAGGGGCTTCGTTCTTACATCAGGCGGTTTAACCTGATGAGAATACAGATTCAAGGGTTACCAGATGAAGTAGCCTATACTGACCTTTTCAGAGGTCTCAAAGACGGGTCGACTTTCAAATTTGATTTTGTCCGAAAGAGGGTGGCGACTCTTCAAGAGGCCTTGATTGAAGCGAAAGCCTATATACAGGCGACTGATCTTTGTAGTACGGTAAAATAGTCAGACGGGAAAAGGTCCGACAAAAGAGAAGGACGACAGAAACAGTCGTCAAACAAAGATGAGAAGAGAAAAGAGGTCTGGGCGGCTGATTCCTCTAAACAGCCGGCCCAGAAGAAGAAAAAAGAATTCAAACCATACTCCCCAAAGTATGCGTTTAACAAGGATAGCCAATTTATCCTAAAGGAAATCAAGGGACGGATCTCAATTGAGAAGCCGGTCCCCATGAAGGGTTCTGCAAACAACCGGAACCAAGAAAAATTCTGTGATTATCATGAAGATGTTGGTCATCACACCAATGAATGCATCAGTCTCATGCGGTATCTGGACCGCCTGGCTGAGCAAGGTGATCTTGACACTTATGTCAAGAAATCTACGGGGAACACTTCCTCGAAAAAGCAGTCAGCCAAAAAGAATCAACAGGCCGACAGCTCCGATACAGATGATGCAGTCGTCTACACCATTGCAGGCAGCTTCTCAGGAGGCGGCCCCACTATTAGGGGCAACAAAGACAATATCAGACGGCTAGATGTAAATTCCGTTCACCAAGAACGGCCCTCCAAATATTCATTTCCTGAGATTGTCATCACTGAAGAAGATCTAGGAGGGGTAAGAGGGTCGCATGACGACCCTATCGTTATTGAATGTAAAGTGGCCAACCAGAGAGTTGGCCGAATCCTCATAGATACCGGAAGTTCCTCAGATCTCATCAGTAGCAAATGTCTGTCGAAACTAAAATATTAGACTGATTGCATACATCCGCCATCCCACCCTTTAGTAGGGTTTGGAGGAGGAGTCGTCCACCCAGTGGGACGAGTGGATTTACCCATCCGCCTGGGTGAAAAAGGGGAAGGACGACACATGGTAGTCCGGTTCCTGGTAGTAGAAGAACTCTCGGCCTACAACATGATTCTGGGACGACCAACCCTGAATAATTCCAAGGCTGTTATAATCCCATCTCTTATGTTGCTCAAGTTTGAGAGGGATAATGGAACAGTCGGGTCCCTAAGGGGAGATCAGAGGATGGCCCGAGAGTGCTATCTCTCGGATGTCAAGCCCACTGTTATGGCCGCTAGGTCGAGTGGTGGAAAAATAGACCTTGACAATGTCAAGGAGAGTGCGTCTGTTCAAGAAGCAGACGACAAGAAGAGAAAGGCATCCCAGACGGGGGCCGCAAGAAAAGACAGAAAATAGCAATCATTGGCAGAGGAGCGGTCGGATGAATTCCGCCCTCAGCCGGCTGGTGAGCATACGGACCTGATCTTAGATGACTCGCGTCCTAGCAGAACAGTCAAAGTTGGGACGACTGCTCCAAGGGTCCTGGGTGACGACTTTCACAAACTATTGAAAGAATACAAGGACATCTTTGCATTCGAAGTCCATGAAATGCCAGGCATCAGTCCTGATCTGGCGGTACATAAACTGGCCGTGGATCCGAAAAAGAAGCCGGTAAGGCAGAAGAAGCGGAACCATGGCGAAGAAAGAAGTCAGGCGGCAGCCGCCGAAGTTAAAAAATTACTTGATGCAGGGTTCATCCGGCAATGTTACTTCCCAGACTGGGTTGCAAATGTGGTGCTTGTTAAAAAGCCGAATGGCACCTGGCGAATGTGTGTAGACTACACAGACTTAAACAAGGCGTGCCCCAAAGACAGTTACCCTCTACCTAAAATTGATAACCTGGTCGACTCAACAGCCGGCCATGCTTTGATGAGCTTTATGGACGCCTACTCTGGTTTCCATCAAATTCCTTTATGGAAGAAATATCAGGAGAAGACGGCCTTCGTCACTGATCAAGGGTTATACTGTTACA